TTTTTCTGAACTGCTTGGTTATTTTCTGTCTGGCCGTGGTCGGTCGGCGATTCTTATTGAGGATTGCCAGGCTTGATGGCAATGCTCAGGTCTGTTTTTTTTTTTTTTTCGTGTCTTTTGAAGAACAAGCGCGCCAAATTCTTTGATGAAGATAATGGATTGACGGCGGTCATGTGTTATGTTCGAAATCTTTTTGTTTTTTTGTTTTTTTTGTTTTTTTGATTAGTCTTTGAAGTGAGTGGCGCTACGTTGGCAGACATGTTGTGCGGAGAAGGATTGGTGGGCTCACGGTAATGGCAATCAAGCTTGGCGATGGATGTGTGAGGTCATTATCTGTGAGGTGGAGGATGCCTATGGTGATGTGGCAGGTAGGAAGATGGCCAAAAAAATTGTCGGGATCTGATGACGATGACCGTACGATGATGACCATCGTCGGGACTATCATTGATGAGTGACGATCTCTGATTTCTTGATGAACTCTCGACGAATACTCGATAAATTCTGGGATGAGTTTTCGATGAGTTTTCGATGAAATCTCGATGAATTCTCGATGAATTCTTGATGAACATTTCTCCTCGTTGTCGGAGTTGACAGAAAGAGGATGATGATCTTCGGCGTCTTGGCGATGACATAGCTATGGCAGACGACGGCCATGATGACGATGCACACGTAGATGTCTAAGAAACTGATGAGGCAATCCGGTATATATCTATTTATTTATATGAAATTATATCTATATATATTGTCACATTGTGAATCAGAGCGCAAAAAAAGGGAAAAGAAAAAAGGAAAAGGAAAAAAGGGGGAGGGGGAAGAGGTAAGGAAAGCTCCACCTGTTCATAACCTCTTACGTACAAGGCCAGCCACGTGGATGACAGGTTGAGCGCTGGCTGCCCCCATCCCCGTGTGTCACAAGGACCCACTTGCACGCAGCCAAAAGGCAAAGAGGTAAAGAAGGGGAGGAGGAAACCAAACCTGACAGGGAAAGAAAGATAGGGAAAGAAAGATAATCCAATTATCAGAAAGCAAATAACACATCCCACAGATCAACGTATCTTTTTTTCTTTTTTCTTTTTTTCTCTTTTTTTTTTATTGTCACAAGAATATCAGAGCGCAAAAACGAAAAAAAGAAAAAAAGAAAGAGAAAAAAAAAGGAAAAACTGAATTCATGTTTTGATCTTCTATATATCTATATGTATATTTTTTTCTCCTAAAATGTGAGAGAGGTATCCATCTTCACGCATGACGAGGACTCGTTCCCGCCAATTCCGTGTGTGATTGCCACGTGGCAGTGAGATATGATTGCATGACATTTTCCCGCCAATTCCGTGCGCATGTGTTCTGCGGCATGCGGCCGAGAACACTGTGCTCCAATTGATTGGATGGGAATTTGGCGGGAAAATCTTTCTTGGCGCCATATGATGCTTAGAGGTCGTCGGAAACTAGCCGTTGAGGAATCAGGCACTCGTTCTTTCTTTTCCTGAATTGGAAAGAATAACATTCTCCGTCCCTCTAGTCCTTTGAGGAATCAGGCACTCATTCTTTCTTTTCCTAAATTGGAAAGAATAACATTCTCCGTCCCTCTACGGTAGTCCTTTCTGCTCGCTCAGGTCCGCCGCCTTCCCCTTCCCCCCCCCCCTTTCCCTCTCTCCCCCCCCGCGCGGGAGCCTAAGTAGCGAGAGAAAGAGGGAAAAACCCTAGTAATTGAGGGTCATGCTCCTACTGCCTTCCCCCAGCACAACGCACCCTCATTATGAACTCATACAATAGGTTCAAATATTTTAATTTTAATTATATTTGCTTTTATTAACTTTTTAATCTAATCTGACTTCGGTCTGATATTAGTCGTGATGAGGGTGCGTAGTATTCGGAGGAAGACGGTAGTCTGGTGTGGCTAACGCTCAGACTAGAGAAAAGGAGTAATCCACCATTTTTTGAGAATTTTTTTTTTCCCCCATGAACGTCAGGATGTCCGTTGCTTAGAGAAAAGGAGTAATCCACCATTGTCTTTTTTTCTTTTTTATTTTTTTCCCCCCATGAACGTCAGGATGTCCATTGCTCCTGCCTTGCGGGTGTAAGAGCCCCGGATGATAGGAGTATGGTAATTCACCATTTTAGTATGACGTATTTTTCGAAAATGAAAAGGGAAAAAATAATAAAATATATTTTCTGCGCCGACCTATCACGTTCGCGAAGCAATGGCACAAGCAATGGGAAATGCATCTTGGCTATGGTTGATGCAAGTTAAAATTAAAAAGTAAATAAAAAGTGAGTAAAAAATAAATAAAAAGTGAGTGAAAAGTAAATAAAAAGTGAGTAAAAAGTAGATGAAAAAAGTAAATAATAAAAAGTGGATAAAAATAAATAAATAAAAAATAGATAAAGTAAATGGAAAGCAATGCAAGTTAAAAAGTAAATAAAAAATGAGCAAAAAGCAAATGAAGACTGGATAAAAAGTAAGGAAAAAAACGTACAAAAAGTAAATAATACGTACATAGACAGCAAAATAAATAAATTAATAAAGCGAGATTGTGACGTCATCGTGACGACATTAGGAGCGAGGGGGGAAATCATTTTGTGATTTAAAAAATATTAGTTAAATTCATCTGTCTTTTGAAAGTGGGGATGCAATGAAGTTGGGCGAATATGTAGGTCATCAGGTCTTTTGCTTTTTACGGCTAGAATCGACCGGCCTCACCAATTCTTTTTTTTATATTATTATTTTTTTTATAGTAGTTTCTATTTTTAATTGATTGGGACCAAAAAAAAAAAAAGATTGGGACGAGTCGGCGCGACGTCCGTGGCATAATCATTTGCGTGCGTTTCGCCAATTTCTTTCTTTTTTTTTCCCTTCTTTTTTTTTTTTTAATGATTCAAGTCCGTAGCGTGATCATTTTTTTGCGTTTAATTATATCGAGGAAAAAAAATTCGAACAAATCTGAGCTGCTGTGGAGGATTTTGAAGGCAACCACCATTGGAAGGGGCTATTTATCTTAATAAAAAAAAACCGAAGGGAAAAAAATCGAAAAAAAAAAAACCGAAAAGAAATATGGAAATACTAGAAAGGTAATCATATTTGAGGTGGAGAAAGAGAGGGAGGGGAGGGGAGAGCGGTTAAAAGCGGAATTACTAAGTAGTGTAAAGATCCGCATGGCAATCTTTCAATGCTCGTTCGGTAAAAAAGAGCCAATAGGGAAAACCAGAAAGTCGAAAGGAAATCGTTGAAATCAGAATGCAAGAGAGAAAAGGAGGGAAGAAAGGGAAAATTAAATTATATCCCCCTCCCCACGAATAGATCGGAGCAGTTTACAACACCCCCCTCCTTCCCCCCCCTTCCCCCCCCCTTCCCCCCCCCAAAAAAAAATAAATAAAAAAAATCGCCATCAGTGTGTAGTGATTCATGCGGTCTTGAGAGTCTGCGGTTGCTGAAAGGAAATTTTTAATTTAGAGAAACGAAAGAAGGGAAGGTAATTGATGATATAATAAAAATCCATAAATGGAAAAGAAGGGGTCCTGAGAGTGCGATTGCTGAAATGACAATTTTTAATTTAGAAAAACAAAAAAAGGGAGGATAACTGAACTAAAAAAAAAAAAAAAACAGTAAAGAAAAACGGAAGGATATAGGAGGATTAACATTTTTAACTCGATTTCTCCGGCAGGCATGATCGTCCCCTCCAACTCGTTCGGATGAAAGTTCGATAAAAGTTCGATGACAGTTCCTCAAGCATTCGAATGTTTGGATAACATTTGGATAAGATTCGGATAAGATTCGGATAAGATGTGGATGACATATTTGGATATACCGTTTGGATGAGATTGGGCTAACATTTGTTGAAGTCCGTGTTTAAGGGCAAAGTAGCGTTGTTTCCTTATTTGGAAAGTTTCTAAAATTGTATCTGTGATGATGAAGCTATAATGTTCTCTCTCAGTTTTCACGCGGGGGAGTGTGAAAGAAAGGAGGGCCTCAGTTTTCATGCGGGCGTGTGTGAAAGGAGGATCATCACTGGGGTACTATTTTTTGAAACTGCGTTACTCTCAAAGTAGCGCAGTTTCAAAAATACCCCAGTTCCGGTGTAACTCAGTTTCAAAAGTACCCCCTTTTTTTTTTCAAAAAAGTTTCAGGTACTCTTTTTTGAAACTGCGGTACTTTTTTTTTTAACTGCGTTACCCTCAAAGTAACTCTGAGTTACAGCGAAACTGCGTTACTTTGAAATGAGAGATTACATTCAAAGTCAACTTTTAACTCTTTTCAAAGTAACTTCTAAGGCCGTACTTACACTAGGAGTTTTCTACCTACGGTAGTTTTGGACGTAATCACGGACCGATACATCCAGTTAGGGCCGTAATTGCAGCCAGATGCATTTGGGAAGGTCCTAGTGTGAGTATATGCCCTAACTTAGGTAAGAGTCACGCAGGAACTGACTCTGGTAAGCTTTGATAGTTACTCTTTTTCCGCGCCAGGCGTGGGGAGGGGGGGATCATATCTGATTTACTCTGGTAAGCTTTGCAAGTTAATTTCTTCCGCGCACTTAGACAAATACACACGTTTGGTTATTATGATTTTCTACTGTCCCCCTCCTCCGCGTCGGCTGCGCCGCCCTACCTACCTTCCCCACTTTCCCCACTTTCCCCCTTTCCCCCTTCGCCCTTCTCCCTTCCCCCTTTCCCCCTTTCCCCCTTTCCTCCTTCCCCCTTGTCCCCCTTCCTTTCTTGCCCCGTTCTCCCCTTCCATAAGGTCACCCCCGTAGGGTAGCCCGCCGTATGAATCCTATGGGGGTGATTTTTTGGTAATTATGACGCTGGTGATGGTGAAGACGACAAGAATGATGATGACGACGTGATGGGATTGGTTGGTGGTGTAATGATGTCTGATGATGTTGATGATGATGATAATGATGATAATGATGATAATGATGTTGTGATTTGATGTCAATGCTGCTGCTGCTGCTGATTATGATGATGATGACGAAGAACTGGTGGTCATCATCACATCACCTCTTCATCTCAATGACATGTCATCACAATATCGTGACCGTAATCTTCAGCATGATGATGATGATGTGCTAGCGTTATCATTTCGTCACAACATCATCACTGTCATCGTTGCAATCATCACACATGAGCACTTCATCATCATCATCATCATCATCATCATGATGTCATCAGCAGAATTATCTCCTCAGCTCATCATCATCACCGATCACCGTTATGAGTACCGTCATCACACCGTTATCATCACCGTCTTCTCCCCACAGTCATCAGTGTCCTAACATCATCGTCACGATCATCTCATCATCAAACTTGTTATCTCGTCGCATCATCATTCACCGTTATCATCACCATCATCATGAGCATTCTCCTCCTCATCAGGCAAATTGATAGGCCTCTCCGATGAACAGATCTGAAGATGAAATGGCATCTTCAGATCTGCTGAGTCATGTTCAGATCTGGTCATCAGATCTGATGACGTGTCGAGCATATTTGATGATCGATCTGATTTGATCTCATGACCTGATGATCACTTTGATAGGTCATCAGATCCGAACATGACATTTCATCATCAGATCTGACGACCTGATGATCACATCTGATCTGATCCGGTGATTAGATCTGGTGATTAGATCTGGTGATTAGATCGGGTACTTAGATCATCAGATCATCAGATCTGGTACTTAGATCATCAGATCTGGTGATTAGATCATCGGATCTGGTGATTAGATCATCAGATCTGGTGATTAGATCATCGGATCTGAAGATTAGATCATCA